ATGCCCTGTCCAGACTATCACTTTTATTTGACAAAAACATGTGACATGCCTTTATATGGTCATGATGACATCACATCATGACCATATATAGACACATCATGACTATATATGTGCATACAACAGTTTTTCATCAAAGAAAATTTGTTAGTCTGGTCAGCATAAAGTACATATTAAGTACATATTGTCATCGCAATTTGTAGTGCATCATTAATACTGTTCATACAATATGAGACCACACTGGTTCCCATTGATGATCTTATTGTGATTGTAGTGTTGTTGCTCTAAATATTATCAATATCATTATTAACTGTATTGCTACCCTGTTACTTATAACACAGTATTTGTATACTGTTTATATTTGTTTGTCATTTTATTATTCATTGATATTGCTATAGTACTGCCTGATTGTAAAGAAATAATCTCAATTTGTATTTCAGCATTGATAATGTACTATAAAGTATTATGTTAAGATGGAATACTTGTTACTTTTGACTTCATTTGTTAACATCAAGGCTCAGTATATTATAATGTGTTAAAATATACAAGGTACATTTATTGTGATTGTAAACTTGGAACAAATAAAATTCTTATTCCCAATGCTAGATTATTAAAAATTAAATCCCAAACTACAAGAATGCCTAAGTATTAAACATCTAAAAGAAATAGAAGTACTGCATAAAAAAATATATATTAGGCCTAAAGCCAAGTATAATTCATCTGATGCTAGACAGGATGACAAAATAAATGTAAATGTTATCATTTACAAATTATTCCCTAGATCTACACGAGACCGTCCCGATATATCTGTTATTTTGATCAATTACCTTTCAAGAGAATCGACCACTATATTCATCGTTTACAAAATCACAATATAAAAATACATTTTGAACCCTGTCTAAAATTTTCATTAGACAAAAACTTGTGACATGTTTAATATGGCAATAAGCATATATAGGCACATCATGGCTATATATGGGCATACAACATCTTTTTGTCAAAGAAAAAGAGTATGGAAAATGTATAACATTAAAAATAAATGTTTCTTACTTTACCTTGTACCATAAATTAAAATAAAGTTATCAATTATTGCCTCTAAAACCTAAATATTATTGAGGGGTTTGCTGGCCATTTTTTTTTCTTTTAAAGAGTTGAGTATTAATTTTTTTCTTTAATTTATCAATTTTAGGCATTACTGAACGGGCCCCTAATTGCCCCGGGTCCTTGGGATTTGCAATGGCTCCACTGCGATTACCTACGCCACAGAGAATAATGGCGATTGTAATGGCAATAATGATACTAATGATGACGATGAAATAATAGCAGAACTGTTTAAAAACTGTAACAACTTCTGTCAGTTTTCCGTTGACTTCTTTTATAATTTCATCATTACACATCTAAAAACAAAATTTTTAAAAATCAGCATCAGTTTAATTTCACTGTTCCCTGGTTATAACAATAATAATTATAATTACAATAATTTATTAATATTGTGCAAATTTTTTTATTTTATTTATTTATTCAGGTATAATCATATTAAAACAATTACAAACTGCAGCCGAAGCTGAAATGGTTTGCATCACAAAACTTATTCACATGTACAAAACAGCAAAATGCCAAAGATAAAAAACATTCACAATTAAATAGAAAAGAATAAAAGTTTACAATATAAAAGAGAAATTTAAATTTATGAAAAGCTAAAAGCACAACACAAAGCTTCAAATCAAAAGTAGGACTAAAATGCTCATGATTGACATCAACAAAGAGTTGATTGGCCTACACCTACGTCGCTGGTTCAAACAGGATGCTCGTCTATACTTCTGGCGGTAGAACAGATCTTCTCGCATCATAAGGACTATAGACCATAAGTCTAGTGTACACAATGGCTCATGTGCAAGCACGGATCCAGCGGGGTGGGAGAGAACGAAACCCGCCCTCCCGCTTTCCACTAAAAATAAATATTGAAATTAGTGCTACCCACTTATCCATTCTGAAAACGTGCCGCCACCCCACCCTCCATTGGAATCATTCTGAATCCGCACCTGATGTGCATTATAAAGAACACAGTACATCATTAGAAACGAGTACAGAGTTACCCCAGTGTACTGGTACAGATGGCCCCTGTCACTGTGGTGGACCAAGTTACCGGGTAGCACAGAAACGAAGGAACCCTTAGGGGCAAGGAAGTCATTGATCAAGCTACTATTCCACATATCAAGGGCCATGAGCATCTTGTTTGGTGGATACTGACGCTATAAATATCTACACAATTATTATCATGCCGAATCAAATCATTTCTTAAATATAAAAATTTACACTTGTTCAAAAAGTATCACAGTCTGTATCAGTTATTAAATCGATTTAATTGAATAATTATTTATTCTATTGAATATGTTTTTAATTTCAGTTTTTGTTGTTAATATTTATTATTTATTAATATTTCTTTAGTATATTGTTATGTATATTTTAACACAAACAGTATATCTTTAATATTAAAAATGAAATATTTTATCCATTTAAACTCAATATATGTTTTGAGAGTAAAATAAATACCTTTTTATTAAGTTGATCTTGTATTTGGTCACGAACTGATCCTTTAAATAGGTTGTAAAGCCAACTGAAACAGATTAAAACATGTAATTTTTTTTGTTTTCATTTTTCAAGAAAATAATATTCATATGAGTTAGTTTAGTTTAGATAAATTACGAAAGTTTATATATTTTCTCTTTTTAACATATCGCTATGTAGTTGTAGGCCTACTTTAGTCTGTAGGATAGTATATAGAGGCAGACAATGCTAGTTTAGCAGTCTCAAAGGCGCATGCCACCGCATACCAACCGAACACTACCGCATGCCAACTTAAATTTATTAAATATTACGTAAAGGACTAGTCTTCATGAATAACAAGAATCAGGTATCGGGTCACACTAATTAGCGTCAAACAACCGTCTAATTATTATTACTATTTTAGTGAAACCCCTAGTCTTGTCTAGTGTGTTACTGAAACTCACACTTATTGTGCAAACACCAGAACTCTGAATAGATATTCTTGAATATTATGTGTATATAGATTAATACTATGAATATATTAATCATTCTGACTATGACTTGTCAACAAAATTCTACTTTCAAATGATAAGACGACGAATACTGTACTAACCTAGCACCCCCATGGAAGTCGACATCCAGCGAGCCAATGTTGAAATTACAGTCGCTCTTTGTGGTTGATATCGAAAAATCGCCATTTAAATACCCTGTATGTAAGACAAAGTATTACAATTATGCTTTATTAGCAGTGTGAGATATTAAAAATAATTAAATATAATATTTTGTGAGCAGGACCTTTTAAGGAAAATAACAATAAAAAAAACATCATGTCCTTAGATGTCAAAAATGCCGTAGTGGGGTTTGCACACGACTGGACTCAAACAGGACTCGGTCCCCTGGGTAGAGGTTCCAAGCCTTTACATTTCACATCATATTCGAACCAAGATTCAGAGCACGTTTTGGATGCGATAAAATGGCAGTGTGCATATTCTTATACACTGATTCTTTTCTTTCTCATTGGTTTGGTAGGCTTCCGAATCCGAAAATTGGGATTCCGTGTGAGTGTATTTTTAACCAGGGGATTCAATTGGAAACCGTTTTTTAACTAAATACATACTGTAGTCTCAAATTTGCAAACACAAATCTAAGGCCGAATTATTCTTACCAAATTGAAGGACAATCGAGAGTGTAATAGAAAACGCTTTTACATCAACACTGCCATCGTCACTTATTCGGATACTGAAAGATGCGTTGAAATAAAAGAAATATATAAATTGGAGAAAAATTTGTATTTTCTTTTTTCACTGTTCATTATAATACCTATTCGGTATATACAATAGGCTACCTCTAACCAAAATTAATTTATAGACATCCAGCAAGAGCGCCTTCCTTCAGCCTTACAGTTTTAAAGAGTTCACAACAGTTAACGAAACGAAAAAACTACAAGATACTCCAAAATTTCTCACACTTAGATTGCTCAACACTGGCCTATTCTTTGACAATACATTTTCTGAACCTGATATCTTTAATTTTTTGGTCGCGCAAAATGTTACTGTTTCCATCACTCTTTCTGTCTTTCTCCGCTTTGTAAATTCATGTTATATATTTCAATGAATAAATGACGCTATACTTACAACCCATGGTTATGGTACTTCCAATCGCCATGCATACTTAATCTAGCATTAACAATGCTAGCCTTCAGTTGAGTATCCGACACGGCGCTAATACTAGCATCTGGCAGACGAAAACTTGTAATCTTCATACTGTTCAAAGGTAAAACAGCTTGACAATAGATATTTACAAGACATCAAATGCAATCGTATTTAATGTAATAAAAAGGGTGGGGTTGTCCATAAGCTACTACATAGTCTCGGTACAAATTATCAGGCCGAAATCAGAAAGGAGGTGTTTATTCTGTGAACCAAAAGCGAAGGGCGCTGAAGTGCCTTGGGGTCCATTTGAAGAATTCCAGCAAGGAAGTATCATCATCATTTTGAAGGTTTTAATGTGTGGGGGATGGTGTTTATCAGAGGGTCGATCGAGTGAAGGCTCAGCCGAATCATTAAAAACCACACTGGTTACGGGCCTGACGATAATACTTGTACTTACTTTCTTAGCTTGTAACTGACTTTGCCTATGACATCGACACGAGTTTCATCAGAAATATCCGGGATTTTCATGTCAGCAAGAGTCTCCCTCAGTGCTGTCTCTTATACACATCTAGATGTGTATAAGAGACAGCTGTTCATACAATATGAGACCACACTGGTTCCCATTGATGATCTTATTGTGATTGTAGTGTTGTTGCTCTAAATATTATCAATATCATTATTAACTGTATTGCTACCCTGTTACTTATAACACAGTATTTGTATACTGTTAATATTTGTTTATCATTTTATTATTCATTGATATTGTTATAGTACTGCCTGACTATAAAAAAAAATCTCAATTTGTATTTCTAGCATTGATAATTTAATGTGCCTGTTGTGGTAGTTAATTAATTGCACCCTTGTAGTTATTACACAATTTACTGACTGAAACAATATAAAAACCTGATTATTATCATTGATTCTTTCACATCATACTGACTTATTTTACAGAACTAAAAATTGTTAAGGGGAAGAGTATGTTGGGGGGGGGCGGCGAGTTTGTAGGGACGACGGTGTATAGTCTGGAGAAAGATTTAAGGGGTAAGTTTCTAGGTGAGTTTGTTAAGCAGCTAGTTTGTAGAAGGCTAGTTTGCAAGGGGCATGTGTTTGCAAGGGGGGGTGGATGGCAAGTTGACTGGCGATTGACAGTATGATCAGCACGCCGCCTGTTTGAGATCCATTCATCATAATGATCTGGCAGTTTGGTGTTGGATTCGGTTACAAAACAAAAGCTTCTTGTAAACTAGACCGCAAATTAAAGAATTCATTTGTCTCATGTGAGAGACATTCTGTTGGACCCCCTTGGCCTTGCTTAGATTTACGTGCACCCCTGCCTAAATTTTCCAAAATTATATTTAACAATATGGAAAAAAAATATCATTTATAATCAAATTTACATCTGAGAGTGCCATTTCTGGCAATCTAAGCTGCATAACTATACTTTTCTTAACTCAGCCCCAACGGTGGGGCCAGCGGGGGAGAGCAGGGGCTTAGGCCACTACCGGACAGACCAATCCCACCATTGGACCAGGGAAGAGTGAAATTAATAATTGTAATTTCACTGTTCCCTGATCGGACGGAGCTCGTTGGGCAGTTGGACTAAAAAATATATAAAAATAGGCCCTGGCCAAGCCAACACATGCCTGTCACAATCAGAGAAGTGTCATTTCTGGCCACCCAGAGAGAGGTTCCTATTCTTTAAAAAAAAAAACACCCTCTCAAACCCTTTCCCCCCAGCTCGGGCCTACGAGCTCATCCCCCTCCCCAGAAAATATATCCGACGTACCTAGACTAGAGCCGCCACTGGGTGTGTGGCGACCCTCTTTCTGTGAAAATCCCTCACTGGGTCCCCTCTATTTCGAATTCCTGAATCTGCCACTGGAAACCTATCTATCTGCACCTTAAGATCGCTGTCTACCTCTGTAAAATGATCACTTACCATACTGTAGTCCATATTGCGCTATTGTCATTAGAAGGCCAGGGTTCATGCTCACTGTCAGAATCACGGCGATTGACAGTATGATCAGCGCGCCGCCTGTTTGAGATCCATTCATCATAATGATCTGGCAGTTTGGTGTTGGATTCGGTTACAAAACAAAAGCTTCTTGTAAACTAGACTGCAAATTAAAGAATTCATTTGTCTCATGTGAGAGACATTCTGTTGGACCCCCTTGGCCTTGCTTGAAAGCCAGGTTGTAAAGAATGAGGCAGTAGTTTTAGGGACTTTCCCTATGTAGTATTTGATTTCATTTCCGGAATTTCATTGCTGTCGAGAAGGGCGTATGTATCACTGATCACGAGAGGGCGGCGTACAACTCTGGGCGTACATAATTTCTAATATTGTGTCTGTGGTGGGGGGAGGGGAAAAGACACTAATAATAATAATAATAATAATAATAATAATAATAATAATAATAATAATAATAATAATCATCATCATAATCATAATCATAATAATAATAATAATAATAATAATAATAATAATAATAATAATCATAACAACAACAATAAGTGGGATTATGATCTGGCAGTAAAGACGGCGGAAAAGGCAAATCCGGTGGAGGTGCATGGTGGGTCATGTGTTTATTACTACAAAAGTAAAAAAAATACAACACGACACATTTCATGATAACTGAATCCCATGTGCATACTTTACTAGTAAACTTAATACAGTAAGGCAGTATAGGGAGCTCATATCTCAAGAATTATCTAGAGGTGTTGTTTTCCATTCATACTTTAAAAAAGATAATGAAAATGTCGTTTTGCAACTGAACGAATAGGAAAGCACCGAGTATATGAAAACGCCGTGTACATATATTCATTGCCTTTCCAAAACAACATATCCAATGTTCATGGTCTGAATGATGTGTAATGGAAAGTAACAAGAACTGCTACTAAAGGGTATCAAAAGATATCCTTAGGGACAAGTCAATTTTAAATAACAGTTAAACTTGATAATATAATATGGATATTGTATAGGAATAGGACATCAGGCACCATAACTATAAGAACATGCACCTAAATTGCGAGATCACGCTTTCGGAACACAAGGCATTATTATGCTGTGCCTACAAAGTCTTGCCTGGAGACCTAGTACCGTTTTCCTGCGGTCATTTTTTGCAACAAACCCGTTTCCAACTTCTACAAAGTCGATTCCATCGAAAAACACTCTTTTCCCTCCCTCTCCTCCTTCTTCCCTCTTTCTTTTTTTGCATTTTTCCGATCATACAAAAAAGCCGCATAGACAAAAGGGGAGAGGGGATAGGAGGGCCCCGGCCCCCGGTTCCGCCGGCCATTGGATCATAGCGCAACATAACAGCTGTCTGCTTAATGGACAAATGGTACCTGGGTAGAAGGTCAATGCAAGGAAAACCCAACAAAACTTTAATCGAACAAGAACCAAAGCAAACTTGCGGCAATCTGGCAATTATCTACCATTGACGGAACATCAATAATATTGTATATACGACAGGTTATACTTATAATAATAGAGGCATCAATCAACTTAAGGTACCACAGTTTACAGAACATCTTTATTTTTATCACAAATACTTGTGACCTTCTTTAATATGTAACGATGATTATAATTGTATATAGGCCTATAATAAATTTAGGTGAGGCCTCCACCTGTATAAAGGTGAATAATTTTAAGTAACTTTGGTGCATGTTGTCATCAGTTAATGTTAATTAAATTACACATTGTCATAATAATTTGTAGTACTGTTAAAACTACAATTGTTCATAGAATATGAGACTACAGTACAATGAAAGTTTCATTGTACTTCCCATTGATGATGATAATAATAATAATTCTGGATTTATATAGCGCCTCACGTTGACACAACCTCGAGGCGCTTAACAACAGAGACGAAAAAAAACCCAAAAAACAAATGCACCAAAAAAATTATTATGAAATATTTGGTTTTAGTTTAGTTTAATTAAGTTCAAATGATCTGATTGCAATTACAGTTCTGTCACAAACACAATACTGTACATCAAGATATCGGATTTGTCATTAGCGATATTTGGCTGTCCATGTTTAATCGGACCTAGCGAAGCCCCACCATTTCCCGCCTTCTGGAACTATGCCTTTGTTTTTGGCCGTTCCCACTCACTTTCCCGCCCTGGAACCATGCCTTTGTTTGGGCGTTCCCACCCTTTGTTTTGTTTTCGTGAACAATGGCTTTTGTTTTAGCCTCTCACTAGCAGTCTTCTCATTGGTCAGTTTATCCATCCAATCACCATCCAGCTTGTGTTTTAGCTTTTCACCCATTGGTCAGTTTACCACCATCAAGCCTCTCTACCCAAACATATAAGTATTTCCCTGTTTGGAGTGTCTGCAAATATTATTCTCCTGAAGACGATTGAAGCATCTCAATCGAAACTTTCTCAACAACAACAGTTCTTTTCAGAACTACTTACGTGGTGTACCGCAAGCTTCAACATATATATTATTTCTTCGCCATGCAAACCTTTAAGCAATACATTATCAGTATTGTTACTACGTTATTTGTCTATGTAATAATATTTGTATATAAATATTAAATCATATTTGCTCATCATATCATCTTTATTCATTAATATTATTACAGAGTATTATTATTTCATATATTTATCATTTACTCATTATTGTTATAGACTAGGCCTATAGTATTTCTTATGTAAACTTATCATTTATGGCCTGAGGAGATATTCTAGCATCAAGTTCCTAATTACATTTTTTCTAACATCTGGTTGTGTTGATGGGACAAATTACATTTAACTTCATTCGTTATCCCTTAATATCAATGGTATATTATAAAGCGTTTTGAACTTGGAATACAGTCGATAAATAGACTTACCCTTACAAAAAAATTTAAAAAAATACATTCATAAAAATACAGCAATAGTAATAGGGCCTATATATGAAATAGTATATCAAATAATAATGCTAATAAAAATAATAAGGTCAGCTAATTTAGCGCTGACTACAGCAGTCATTATTATGACGGCAATTATAAGGATGACGATGAAAGTGATGAAATAAAGGAAGTAACGCTTAATGTCTGCAACAACTTCTGCAAGTTTTCTGTTGACTTCATTATCGATTCTATCACACATCTAAATATTTGAAAGTAAAAAGAAAACCGACATTGTAAGAATCGGCATCAATAATCTGTGAGTCTCAGGTGAAATGAAACTAACAAATTTCTTAATTTTTAATAAAAATCCACACTTTAAACTTACACTAGAGTCTGTAATTACATATGGAAACTAGCCAACCACTTCAAAACTACAAGTTGGCTTATCAAAATGTGGAATTGCTCATGCATTCTGTCTTATGGCATGTTTCTGAAGAAAAAAAAATTCCTTCTGAATTCCTTCGTTTCTAGTGAAAGTGCAACTAATTAAAACAGACGGTAACGCGAGCATTGTTAAGCCGGTTTTCCACTAGGCGATTTATTCGCGCGAATCGTCGAAAGCGTCGGTTCATGCGCATGCGCGTTCACGTTCCTATCGGAGATTTTGCGAAGCGAAAAAATGCGCAACCAATCAGAGCTCAGGA